TACAAAATTGATATCTTTAAAAAATAAATCCGCAATCATATAGAGAAACACGCAAGAAAACGCAGAACTCCCGTACTTCAATTCAGGTCACTCCCTATTTACTGCGTCCTTGGTATACTGTATTTGATCTGGTTTTCCAATTACCAATATTATATATTGTATAAGTAAAACAATAGCAAATAATAAAACCATAACTTGTAAGTAAGAGCTAAGACGTAGTGGAACTCAGCTGAATGAGTAGTCAGTTTAGTTTTTAGTTTTAGTGCATGACGTGATCCATTAGTGTGTACATATATATTTGTTTTTTGGTGACATTAAATTGTTATTATACAGGCAAATGAGAGAAATAAACATAAACAAGAAAAGGATAAAAAAATATGAACTTATTTTAATAAAATCTATCACTTCAAAATCAGGGACAGCAGATATCCCTCAAGTAGCTTTGCCAATAATTACTGTATGGCCAGCATGAACCACTTGCCAAGTGACAAGAAACAAAATAAGTCAAAGCTTATTATTAAGGTAACACAAAACTCAGTGTTGAATCCAGACCTTTCCATCACGGGGGTAGAGAATGTGAAGTTGGGGGATGGGGGTAAACTAAAATTCAAATTCGACAAAATGGAAAATACTGTACTTCAGGGGGTGGATTTTTTGCACAGGGGGAATGGCCCCTAAATTAAACACTGACAAACCTACATATAACTTTACTAAGTTTAGAAGTTCAGATTTTGATTTCGCAGTCAACCACTGATGTAAATTATGCAAAAAATTCCGTGGCGACTTGTCCATGGAGAGGTTTCAATGAACATTACAAATAATAACGTTCCAAACTTCTGATAAAAATTCCTCACTGAGAGCTGTCTTAGGTGATATAATCAAACTTTAAACATATTTCTCCATTTAAAATATGCCAATAGGTATTACCACCAGGCCGATCATAAACCTTTACTCAATACAACTTCGCCGAAAAGCAAAGGTTTGCGACTTCTCGTGCTCCAAGGAAAGGAAAGAGAGCAGGAAGTTTAGTGTGGAAGATTCTTTCACGGATATTCGGGGACAGAGTCCCTCTTCATACTTGGAGGAAATAAATGAAGAAAATCCTGCCAATAGGGTATAATTTAAGGTCAAAAGTCCACTACTGAGGAACTATCCTACAACAAAACCTGATGCTTACGTATGTAACGGTCAGTGACCCTAGAAACTGGAAGGGCAAGATATTTTCTACACTGCCTCAGGTTTTTTTTAGCCTAAACTCGGAATGTGTACGTTCGAGAGATGTTTTGCATTTATGGAACAACTAAAAGCTTCTAATTAGAGAAAAATAAAAATATTTCGTAAATCAGATGGTGATTGCATATATATGTAAGAACACACACACATCAAAAATATAGCAAAGCACCAGAGAAAAATTTAAAGTAATATAAGAAGGGCAGGTTTTGATAATTTTGTGTTAACTGAAGTGGAGACCCTTACAAAAAAAAAAAGTGACAAATAGTACCGTGCACTTATTTTAAAATGATAATAATAAGATACCGTGCAAAAACTTAGCATTACAAACATAACTAGTTTTATTAAACCTACAATACTACAGAGAATATTTTTAGAAATGCTGAAACATGTTGTATTGCCCTTAAAAAAACAATACAACAACAACATATTACTGGTATTTTCACTTCTTATTTGTCATTACCTAACTGTAGATATGGTAAAGAACTCAACAGAAAAACTAGAGGGCCACCATTTTAAAATCCAAATCCTTACAGATGTATGTGGTGGAGAAGGAAATCACGGGAAATGTTTGAACATCTCCCATCCAAACCACAGGTAACACAAAAAATAAAAAAAAACTGTCTTAAGCGCATCCATGAATCTAAAACTTGCAGTACACTGTTTTAAGTCGAGCATAAAATAGAGGTTTGGGAAAAAGAAATGCCACATACACAGGAAAAGACGAAAGCAGTAAAAT